CCGCGGGCCGTGGAGGCGCGAGGCCGCCGAAAATTCTACTATTATGCATATTGGGGCCCCCATTTCTGGACACCCCTACATTAGGATGAAGTTGCAGAGGTTATATGGATTTGCACGAATGATGTGCCGGATACAAGTGTCTTGTTGCCTTCAGGATCTGTTAGGGTTGAGGCTTTGGCGTTAGGGCTTCTCAAAATAGGAAATGTTCAGGGATCCTAGGGATGTGTGCGGATTAGACGGAGATCATGGCCACGCCGTTCAACGAATGCATCTCTTCCCTCTCACCCGTAACACTGAGCAAGCCGAAGGTAGATTGGATGAACATTAGTTCTTCACGCACAATATATGATCATAGTAGTTTCCATTTCATTTTCCATTACCCCTATATAACCCCAAAATAACCCCAATATATACCCTATATAACCCTATTATTGATATATCAGATTACCTGAGTTTCAGATCTGGGTGGTGGTCAGGCTTGGAGCCGTTCTCAAGACTCTTGGTGTGCAAGTGAGAACCAAGACTGGAAACTACTATAATGGAGAATCAAATGGAAAAGAAAATGGAAAATGAAATGGAAACTAGGGGTAATATTGGGGGTAATATTAGGGGTTATATTAGGCTTTTGGGAGAACCAAGACAAGGGTCACCACATTCGAAGCATTCTGTTGGCAGTTCTTCCTCGTCGTCTGTTGCGTCGCTTGTGACCTGGGCAGGACCGAAGGCATACAGTGACAATCAGCATAATGAAGCTGTGATATGGTAGTTTCCCAAAAGAAGGGACCTAAATGAAGACCCTGAATGCTATAATCCAGACTAGTTGGACCCGCCAAAGAAGGTAACCCCCAATTTGTACCCCTAAACCCTATCTAATCATCTAATCCCATTATGCTTCCATGTTCTTTTCCATTATCCCTACATGACCCTGATATATACCCTGTAATCCTTATATAACCCCTATATAACTTATGTAACCCCTATAATCCCTGCAGTTTCCATTTTCTTGTCCATTATCCCCATATACCCCCTGAGGAAGGTTGTGCGCCCAGGCCAAAATCCTGCTAACAGGTCCAGAATCGGAGGAGTCGTCGTCGTCATCCAGTTGCCGACCTTCTTCCTCAGCTTGCCGCCGCCTGCGCGTATGGGACTCTTAGGTGTCTAGGGTTTTCTGGCTCAGGAATTGAGTCAGTTTGGAGTTCGGGGTTGATGTTTTAGGGGATGAGGAGAAAAACACAGGTTCCCTGGAATGCCTTTCACAGCGGGGGTTGGCCCAAAGCAGCGGTATCTTCAAATGTCATGGATCCTGCCATCTTCAGTGGTAGGCTCCATCAACCATTCAGAGGGCCACAGGATGGGAGCACTGTGGCCTTAACCCTCGCGCATGCCCAATAACCCCTCCATGATGTCTCCACATGCACCCTGAACCCGATGCCATAGCAGATTCATTAAAGAAACCGCCCCAAAGGTATCATACCTATAGTACGGACATTGCCTGTCCACAGAAGCATACCAACAAATCGGAAACCCTGAAGCCCAAATCCATGAAAATCCCTATCACCTACGCAACCTACCAAACCTCGTGAGCATGACAGACCTTGATATAAACTTTCTGGAACTCTACAAGATGCTTTCCGGCCTCTCCATCTTCTTTTCCCATCTTTTCCGTCGCTTCTCTTCAATGGCCTTTACAGATCGAAGTGGGGCTTTCTCAAAACGGATTCACCTTCAGAAACGTCAGGATAAAACAGAAAGTTCCTCAAGAAGGTGGGGTTCCTTGGAGAAATTCCCAGGCTCTGCGCAAGCTTCAGATCCCAACTGCTGAAGTTGAAAAGTTCAGAGGGTCTTCAAGGATCCCCTGTTGCAGTTGTACTAGCCGCAATCATGACAGTCTCTATCACAAGGTTGTGCAAAAAAACATTGGGGTCCCACCTTCTGCTTGGCCTCCCACTCCTGCTCCAGTATATAGCTGGGCTTGTAATCTGACCTGGGTGCGGCTCACAATGTTGGGAACAGAGACGCAACGAACAGGCAAAGAACTGCGGTTGCCAGCTTCATGAGTTGAACCAGCTCGTTTCAACGAGCTGGTAAGTGAAGCGCGCACCCCAATACTGCTAAGTGTAACATCTGCTGCTGCGGTTGCCACTCGACCCACGGCGACCCACTACCTTTGTCAACTTTGCCACTGCTCACAGACTTCAAGGCCCAGGAGCCGATCATGCGCAAATTTGCAGGAGTCTCCGAAGCCGCAGTAGCCAGTTTCTTTGTAGTCTTTGCAGATACCACCTCAAGCGCAGCAAACGCTGGCCTTCACATGGCATGTAGGAAGACCTGGGCAAGTAATGCAGACCCAAAGAAAACATGGACCGTGACAAGCGTCCACACATCCCATTAATTGTATGTGTACACCTCTCTGTGAGTACGCCCCCTAGCATAAACCAAAGTTTGTCGAACCCACAGAAGGTAAGCCGAAGGTCACCGAACCCCAGAATCTTCACCAAACCCCCACACAGGGTTCTGCCAAAGGGTTCTGCTTAACCCCCTGAAGGGTTCTACAAACTCCTCAATGTTCCGCGACACCTCCAGGCAACGTTCTGCGAATGCCGGGTCGGGCTGTGAGGTGAACCCCCAGATTTGTTTCTAGATATAGGGGTTATATAGGGTTTATATAGGGTATATATTGGGTATAT